AAAAAAAAAAAAAAAAAAAAACAGCACTGTCTAAGAGGCTGATCCCACCTCTATTCTTTTTGGCGAGAAACGACCTTTTTTGGGATCCCACCTCTTTCCGCGTGAGGCGGAGAGGGCCCTCTTTTATCGCGGATGTGGAAACGGAAGTGGACGTGTCGAGCCGGCCGCGTTTGCAGGCCAGAAAGATCTTTTGAAAACGCAAAGGGAGACGACCCCGTCTTTTCCCCAAAAAAGAAGGCGGGGTTTTCCTTCCCGTTTTTTTTGTTTGTACATGTCCGCGAGAGGCACTTGGAATGTCCGCCTGGCCACAACGTTGTGCGACGGGTTTGAACCGGCCGCAGTGCCATGCGGCCTGCCGATGTCCCACCACACAGGCAGACGGGGCCCGATCCCCGAAAATTCCAGTTGCTGATTCGAAGAGGGCTGGTCGGTCCGGTATGCCTGTGTGATTGCACACCTTACGGTCGTGCGAGGACCTGATGTTGGTATTCCGCAGTGCCCATCCCGTGTGCACCCACGCCCTGGCAGTGCGCGTTCCCTCTTCGCGCGAAGCTGGCGGCCAAAGCAATGGTAGCTCCCCCTCCATCTCCCACCATCGCCTATCGGTAATAGCTCGACGCTGTTCGGCGCTTTGCAGGTCTTCGTAGTCGGTGACATCGCCGGCAGTCTCCCACCATCTCTTGCCATTTTGCCACGTGGCGTCTTTCTGCATCCACATCCATTCGTCCGCATTTCGCCACGTGGCCGTTCATCTGCTAGAGGGGTGCAAGTTGCATTTTCCGCCATTTGTCGGATCGATCCGTCGCATTCCTCCACGTGGCATGTTTCCGGACTGCCAATGCTATTCCCACCTCTGTCCCCCACGTCGCCATTCATGTGATACACCACGAAAGTTGCATTTTCCGCCATTTGTAGGATTGATCCATCGCATTCCTCTATGTGGCATGTTTCCGCAGTGTACATAGCCGCAAACTCTCTTCCTTGGCTTTGGCATTCTTCACAAGTTGTATACAGTGGAGGCCATCGTCACCGGCTCATCGAGCAAGCTACGTCTGCTGACAGCGTCCGTAAAAGGTATGGATCACTCTAGACTACCTGTGCAGAGACGATCACCATCTCCTTCGCCTGCTCCCATGGACACGGGCTTCGTGGAAGTAATGCCATCCAGTGCAGGCATTGGCAGTCCGGGTTTCCAAGGTTTCTCAGCAGGTGCAGGACCTGCGGGTGTGGCACGCGTTGCCACGTCACTGCCGACAGGCTTGCCACCATTGCCGAATTTCAAGCATTTGCACGCTCCAGTGTACAGTCCCGGGAAAGAGCCACGAAGTATGACCTCTCTCCTTGGCGAAGGTGACATTTTTGGAGCACCGTGATATGGAGGAGCAGGGAGATTGGATGCAGACGTTCAAACAGCGTATCCAAACTGGGGGGTGGGACATGACTGTGGGTTTGCACGTGACGGGTTGAGGATGGGGGCGAACGGGGAGCGGCCACAAAGCGGTCCTCCACCGGTGGGTGCGCACTCCATGTCGGGAGGGGTGGGTGGGGGTTCACCAAACACGTACACACCGATGGAGGGTCGGACTTCGCCGTCTTTTGCACACTCCCCACCGACCACCAATCACATTTGCTCACAAAACTTGTACTCTTCAGACCCCGGTGTCAACCGTGGTGCCGCTTCTATGCTTGGCCCACATGCCAACGTCTACAACTCCGATGTCCCCATGCCCAACCATTCTCGTGATTCGAGTGTAGAGGAGTCCGTCATCGATGGGGCGTTTGGTGGCGCTTTCACCGAACCTGCGATGGATATCGCTGGGACACAAAGTGGAAGACCTGCGAGTGTCGAGGTCGCAGGCGACGAAGGCGGTGCGCACTGCGGCGATGCAACTCCGCCAACGGGAAGTGGAAAAAGGGTCGTCAGGGAGGGGGGGGGGGGAGTCTCGGGGGACAGAGCAAGGCGAAGGCGAAAGAGCGGAAGCCTGAGTGGACAGACAAGGAGAGCATGGCGCTTGTGAGGCTGCTCTTCGAAGAGGACTGCGCACAGCAAAGCAGGCGAGGGAGGCAGAAGATCAGGAGTAGACGGGAGAAGTACGACTGGATAATAGGGAAAATGGTTGAGCAAGGCTTTCCAAAACGTGACTCGGAGGACTGCGAGGCAAAGTACTACGCCCTCCTTAACAAAGCAAAAAAGATCCGGGATTACAGCGGCGAATCAGGGAAGCCGAGCTATTAGGACATGTCGCGTTCGGAGAAAAAGGAGAATGGCCTTCCGTTGACATACGAAAAGCACATGTTTGAAGCTCTGCAATGGAAGCTTGGGAAGGCGGACGGTTCGTGCGAGGACCTGATGCACAGTGTCAATCTGCAGAGAGGGCAGACGAGCACGGTCACAGATGATGAAGACACTGGCGGCACTAGTGAGAATGGAGGGGGTCGACGAAAAGCGGATACTGACAGCACTGAGGGTTACAAGTCTCGACGGACCGCGGGTGGGAGCGACCACAAACGGCGTTCCGCGGCAGAGAGTTCTAGTGACGCTTCAAGGGGAGGTTCGTCCGCAGACATTGCACATGCTCTTGTCGACGCGAACGACCGTCAGGCGGAGAGGATCGCAGGGAGTTTTGCACAGGCCATGGACGGAATGAACAAGACCATGGCCGAGGGTAACCAAACACTGTTGCAATGCTTCGCTATGCTTTCAAATGTGATGGTGGGACAACCACCATCTGTTCCTCCAGGGGGCGGGACACTTTGCAAACGTGGCAGTCGCCATGAAGATGGTCGTTGATCACATGCTTGGAGCACACAAAGTGATCGGCTGCATGTCCGAGACGTGCACTTCTTTTGAAATTTTGGTTTTTTTTTTCCATTTTTTTTTGTTCGGTCAGCACTCCGTACGGGTGCAGGACAGCGGCGGTTCAATCTGACCAAAGTCCGTGTGCGTGTGCGATTCCTGATGTCTTTCTTGCAGGATTCGTGAAAGAGAGCGTGCACGACACTTGGCAAAATGTCGTCTTCTCCGATGAGCAGTGTTGGCGAGGTTGTGGACATGGCCGGAGATTTCGCGTTGACCCACAGGCGGCTTATCGAGCAAGCGCATGAGCTGGCCCGTAAGCACGGGGTGCTATTCACTAGCGTATCGGCTATGGTGGAGGAGCTCCAGCGTCTGCAGGGTGAGCTAGAGAAGGCGAACATGAGAGAGGGGCTTGCCATGTCGAGAGCCGAAGCTGCGGAGCGACAAGTTGCTTCTCTGAGGGAGGAAGTGGCCCACCTGCAACACCAGTTGTCAATTTACGAAGGGGGCTCCGACCATAGCCCTGCAGAGCCCGATAGTTTTGTCACAACTTTGCAGAACCCTAGCCGCATGCGAGGTGGAACCGTCGCCAGTGTGACAGTGTCGGTGGGTCACATGCGACGTGACTCTAGTGTGCGCACACCTCCGCATCGGCAGGTGCCCACCGAGGCGAGATCGCCTTCATCACTGCCCGTAGTGTCGCCGGACATGAACAGTCGTGACGTCACAGCGGTCGCTGAACAGTTGAGGAGAAGTATGTGTATGGAGGGCGATTCCCTGAGTGGGCATAGGTAGATGTGTGTTGCAGGTTAGCGTTT